ATATATATATATATATATATATATATATATATACATATATATATATATATATATATATATATATATATACATATATATATATATATATATATATATATATATATATATATATATATATATATATATATATATATATATATATATATATATATATATATATATATATATATATATAAAGAGAGAGAGAGAGAGAGAGAGAGAGAGAGAGAGAGAAAGAGAGAGAGATTATAAATTATACACTGTTTACTTCAAAAAAAAACTTTTTTAATTTATTGAAAAGAAATATTTAATCATACTGTTAACTGTGTTTAAATTCAAAATTTAGATTGTAATGGCGGATGCACTGGTCAGTTTACAACCTGTGTCAATAGTGTATGTCAGTGTCAGGGAAACTATTCTTCAATTAATGGAACTTGCACTGGTTTTTATTTTTATTTTTTTTTAAGTTATTTTGAATTAGAAGTAAATTTTTGTTTAAGTTTCTGTACAAAGTAGTTTTCTTTTTTTAATAACTGTAGGTTTTTTATCTTTTTTCTTTTTCTTTTGGCTTATATGCCTACATTAAAATAGCAGGATTTTTTTGCCAATTTTCTTAGTATTTTCCACTTTCTGATTACAACTCATATCATAATGAATCCAATTGTAGGTTCATTACTTAGGGGATTTAAAACTAACCTAAAAATTGATAAATTTAAAACTACCTGCTATTCTTTCAGACAACTGTTTTTTTAACAAAAAATTGTCAATGATGTCAAATGTTAAATGTCATGTATATTTTATGCACTATATGCCAAAAAGAATACTTAACATTAAAATTTTTAATTTCATTTAGGCAGTTGGGGTGATTGGGTCAATGGAACATGTTCACAACCTTGCGGTAATGGATTTATGACTCGCAATCGAACCTGTAATAATGGCCTTCAATGTATTACTGGTGGGGTGTACAAGTCAGTTCAAATACAGAATAACATCAATTGCAACTTAAAACCCTGCGGTATTTTTTTTTTTTTTATTTTATCTTAAATGAATTATATATGTATAATGGACATATATTTATTGGTAACAGATATTTCAAAATTAGTATATACCAAATAATAATATAATATATACTATTACATATACCAAATATTACTATTATTATTACTAGTTAATATATACCACATACTATTTATAATATATATAATATAGCATATATAATATATACTATTGAAACAACTTTAAATCAATTTTGATTTTTCAATTATCACGTAAATGATAAGTATATTATTAAAACTTATTGAAAAAAAAGTTTTGTAAAAAAAAGGGGTAAAAAGGCACTTTTTTTTTATTTTTAGTTGATAAATTTCATAGTTTATGCTGTTAAATCTAACATATTTATTATTATATAATATAGCTATGAATTTTGAAATTCTCATATGATTTCACTTCATTTGAGAGCCATCATGATAAACTTTTGAATTTTTTTTTTTATATTATTAGTAACTCGTTATAGGTTCAAGGGTCTTGAAGGACCCCTAAAAATATTTTTATTATAAAAAATTTTTAAAACCAGTGTTTTTTTTATCATTTAGTACACCTTAAGAAGGTGTCAGCATATATTTTTCAAAAATGTTTCTTTTTTGGGCTATATCAGCATTTATATATATATATATATATATATATATATATATATATATATATATATATATATATATATATATATATATATATATATATATATATATATATATATATATATATATATATATATATATATATATATATATATATATATATATATATATAAAGAGAGAGAAAGAGAGAGAGAGAGAAAAAGCAAGAAAGAGAGAGAGAGAGATTATAAATTATACACTGTTTACTTCAAAAAAAAACTTTTTTAATTTATTGAAAAAAAATATTTAATCATATTGTTAACTGTGTTTAAATTCAAAATTTAGATTGTGATGGTGGATGCACTGGTCAGTTTACAACCTGTGTCAATAATGTATGTCAGTGTCAGGGAAACTATTCTTCAATTAATGGAACTTGCACTGGTTTTTATTTTTTATTTTTTCAAGTTATTTTGAATTAGAAGTTAATTTTTGTTTAAGTTTCTGTACAAAGTAGTTTTCTTTTTTTAATAACTGTAGGTTTTGTATCTTTTTTCTTTTTTTTTTTTGGCTTATATGCCTACATTAAAATAGCAGGATTTTTTTGCCAATTTTCTTAGTATTTTCCACTTGCTGATTACAACTCACATCAAAATGAATCCAATTGTAGGTTCATTACTTAAGGGATTTAAAACTAACCCAAAAAATGATAAATTTACAACTACCTGCTATTCTTTCAGACAACTATTTTTTTAACAAAAAATTGTCAATGATGTCAAATGTTAAATGTCATGTATGTTTTATGCACTATATGCCAAAAAGAATATTTAGCATTAAAATTTTTAATTTCATTTAGGCAATTGGGGTGATTGGGTCAATGGAACATGTTCACAACCCTGTGGTAATGGATTTATGACTCGCAATCGAACCTGTAATAATGGCCTTCAATGTATTACTGGTGGGGTGTACAAGTCAGTTCAAATACAGAATAACATCAATTGCAACTTAAAACCCTGCGGTATTTTTTTTTTTAATATTTTATCTTAAATGAGTTATATATGTATAATGGACATATATTTATTGGTAACAGATATTTCAAAATTAGTATATTCCAAATAATAATATAATATATACTATTACATATACCAAATATTACTATTATTATTACTAGTTCATATATACCACATACTATTTATAATATATATAATATAGCATATATAATATATACTATTGAAACAACTTTAAATCAATTTTGATTTTTCAATTATAACGTAAATGATAAGTATATTATTAAAACTTATTGAAAAAAAAATTTTGTAAAAAAAAGGGGTAACAATGCACTTTTTTTTTATTTTTAGTTGATAAATTTCATAGTTTATGCTGTTAAATCTAACATATTTATTATTATATAATATAGCTATGAATTTTGAAATTCTCATATGATTTCACTTCATTTGAGAGCCATCATGATAAACTTTTGAATTTTTTTTTTTATATTATTAGTAACTCGTTATAGGTTCAAGGGTCTTGAAGGACCCCTAAAAATATTTTTATTATAAAAAATTTTTAAAACCAGTGTTTTTTTTTATCATTTAGTACACCTTAAGAAGGTGTCAGCATATATTTTTCAAAAATGTTTCTTTTTTGGGCTATATCAGCATTTATATATATATATATATCTATATATATATATATATATATATATATATATATATATATATATATATATATATATATATATATATATATATATATATATATATATATATTATATATATATATATATATATATATTAGGGTGGTCCATAAAACAACTTTTTTGAGAAAAACCTGCTGACACCCCCTAAATGTGTTTTATCTAATGCAAAAACACTAGGTTTAAAATTTTTTTGAACAAAAATTATTTTTAGGGGTAGCTCAAGGCCCTCAAAAATTTGACGGGTCCCTAATATTTTGAAAAAAAAACTTTTTCTAAAGTATGTCAACCTGGTACTCAAAAGAAGCGATATTGTATAAAAACTTCAAAAATAATAATCATTTTACATAAAAAACATGCCTAAAAAAAATTATTCTCAAAAAACCTGAAAATATTGACTTTTTTTATTTTCAGCTTAAAAACAATAGTTTTTATGCATTTATACCTAAAAAAATTATTTTTATAAAAAATTATTATCATTTTTAAATTTTTTATATAATTTTGCTTATTTTGAGTACCAGGTTGACATACTTTAGAAAAAGTTTTTTTTTCAAAATATTAGGGACCCGTCAAATTTTTGAGGGCCTTGAGCTACCCCTAAAAATAATTTTTGTTCAAAAAAATTTTAAACCTAGTGTTTTTGCATTAGATAAAACACATTTAGGGGGTGTCAGCAGGTTTTTCTCAAAAAAGTTGTTTTATGGACCACCCTAATATATATATATATATATATATATATATATATATATATATATATATATATATATATATATATATATATATATATATATATATATATATATATATATATATATATATATATATATATATATATATATATATATATATATATATATATATATATATATATATATATATATATATATATATATATATAAAGAGAGAGAAAGAGAGAGAGAGAGAAAAAGAAAGAAAGAGAGAGAGAGATTATAAATTATACACTGTTTACTTCAAAAAAAAACTTTTTTAATTTATTGAAAAAAAATATTTAATCATATTGTTAACTGTGTTTAAATTCAAAATTTAGATTGTAATGGTGGATGCACTGGTCAGTTTACAACCTGTGTCAATAATGTATGTCAGTGTCAGGGAAACTATTCTTCAATTAATGGAACTTGCACTGGTTTTTATTTTTATTTTTTTTTAAGTTATTTTAAATTAGAAGTTAAGTTTTGTTTAAGTTTCTGTACAAAGTAGTTTTCTTTTTTTAATAACTGTAGGTTTTGTATCTTTTTTCTTTTTTTTGGCTTATATGCCTACATTAAAATAGCAGGATTTTTTTGCCAATTTTCTTAGTATTTTTTACTTGCTGATTACAACTCACATCAAAATGAATCCAATTGTAGGTTCATTACTTAAGAGATTTAAAACTAACCTAAAAATTGATAAATTTAAAACTACCTGCTATTCTTTCAGACAACTATTTTTTTAACAAAAAATTGTCAATGATGTCAAATGTTAAATGTCATGTATATTTTATGCGCTATATGCCAAAAAGAATATTTAGCATTAAAATTTTTAATTTCATTTAGGCAATTGGGGTGATTGGGTCAATGGAACATGTTCACAACCCTGTGGTAATGGATTTATGACTCGCAATCGAACCTGTAACAATGGCCTTCAATGTATTACTGGTGGGGTGTACAAGTCAGTTCAAATACAGAATAACATCAATTGCAACTTAAAACCATGCGGTATTTTTTTTTTTTTTATATTTTATCTTAAATGAATTATATATGTATAATGGACATATATTTATTGGTAACAGACCTTTTAAAAGTTAATATATACCAAATAATAATATAATATATACTATTACATATACCAAATATTACTATTATTATTACTAGTTAATAAATACCACATACTTTTTATAATATATATAATATAGCATATATAATATATACTATTGAAACTACTTTAAATCAATTTTATTTTTATAATTATCATGTAAATGATAACTATATTATTAAAACTTATTGAAAAAAAAAATTTGTGAAAAAAATGGGTACAAATGCACTTTTTTTTTATTTTTAGTTGATAAATTTGATAGTTTATGATATTAAATCTAACATTGTTATTATAAAATATAGCTATGAATTTTGAAATTCTCATATGATTTCACTTCATTTGAAAGTCATCATGATAAAATTTTGAATTTTTTTTTTTATATTGTTAGCAGTGGCGAATTTAGTATAAAGCGTGGAGGTGGGCAAGCTGCCTCCATGCCCCCCTAGAACGGTCTAACGGCGCCTTCTAAAATAATGAAAAAAAAAAAAATTGTATGATCAAATTACTGAAGACAACCCTGGTCGCCCCTATTCATTGACTTGACTTCCCCCCCCTTCCCGCAACACTAAACCTCAATCCGCCATTGATTGTTAGGAACTCATTTTAGGATCAAGGGTCTTGAAGGACCCCTCAAAATATTTTTATTAAAAAATTTTTTAAAACTGGTGTTTTTTTATCATATAAAACACCTCAACGGGGTGTCATATATGTCACGGCTGTTTCAAACCGAGCTTAACGGCTTCTTGTTATTTTTTGAAAATATTGACTTAAGGGGTTATGACTCGAAAATATTGACTAAAACTTCTATAACTTTTAAAATGTTAAAGATAATTTTGTTTTGTAAAAAGAATAAAAACACCAATAAAATGTTTCATCTTACAACATTTAATGCATTAGTAAAAAAACTTCTTAAAATTTAAAAAAAACGCGACAAATGATGAAGTTGGCTGAATTCAAGTAATTTAATGTTACTTTTTATCAAAAAAAAATCAGAAAAATTTATTTCTGATAGTTATTCTCAAATATACCCATTGTTTGACTATTATAGAAACAAAATAACCTTACTTAATTGTTTAAGTATAGCTAAAACAGACTTTATTGAGGTCTGAAAGCAAACCCCACTTTTTGCAAAGTTATGAAAAATGTAGTTAAAAGGGGGGTTAGCTGTTAAAAGAGTACATTTTTAAACCTAGGAGTTCTTGTTTTAGTAACTTATTTTCCTAAGCCAATAAATTCATTGCATTGCAAAATAAAGTCAGATTTCGATTTTGGAATATTTAGTCAAAACATTTAAAGCTTAAGCATTTATTTTTTTCTGTGCATAGAGTTCTAATAATATGGTGTTAAGTTGTTAATAAATACTGACCAAGTCTAATAAAATAATTCATAACCAAATTTGAGTTTAAGTTTTTGAATTAACCTGAATGAGACCTCTCATGAGGCCCTATGCTATTTTTATATTCTTTTTCTTGGTCTTCACACTCCATCTGCAATCGAATATACTCATCGTCTAAAAGTTCCCGTTGTGCGCGTATAAAAGAAATTTTTTTAAAAAAAATATAAAGGTCAAGACATTCTATATCTTCACCCTAACATGCTAAACACTCATACTTCTCAATGTCACACAATACACTCTTTTCAGAATCACCAATAGATTCACAAAATTGATGAAACAATTTTTGGCACGCACCACACTGCACCCAATCAATGTTACAATTATATTTTGTAATTAAACACCTAATACTATCACACATTTCTTGCTTTTTACAGGTTATTTTTTTATTGGAGGAGTTTAGAGATAATTCAAAAATATTTATATTAAAAGCTAACCAACGCGCCTGTAGATTTGCAATGTCTACAAATTGATTTCCTAATAAATGTAAAGCTTCTGCTGTTTTAGAACATTCAAAGCTTTTAGCAGCCCGCAATTCATTTGTTCTCACATTCTCATTATGCGACAAAGATGTAACAGCTTGACAATCTAAAGTCTTACACTCCTTCAACAATAACTTATACAGTTTTAACACAACTCCTAACATTGGAGTTGTGTTCAAACTGTATAAGTTATTCCCCATAATAACTTTAGATAATGTAGTGCCACCATTAACATTGGTGGCACTACATTATCTAAAGTTATTATGGGGAAAATCACAGGAGAAATAATCGAATTATGAAACTTACCTAAAGTTCTTAGGTTTCCACCTTGTCTATTTTCACACAAGTTGTCATTGTATCCTTAATTGGCTCTGTAGCTCTACAGCATCAGAAACACTTAACTGCTTAACTAAACCCAACTTATTTGCAACCCAACAAAGTATTGACTTTTCACAAGAAATAGAATCACAAAACAACATAGACAAGTCACTTTCTAAATCTGAACAAGCTAATAATCGAAGGAATATAAAAGCAAGTTTAGATCGTCTAGCTGCAGCATGTCTACCTAACTTAGAATAAGGTTTACCATTTCCTAACTTAATGTAAGTATATTTTTTACTAACTATTGGCTTTTTAACTGATATATTCTGTGGATTACTTAATTTAAACCCACAAAATAATTCAGAGGAACCAATGTTGTCGTAGTCTAAATAAGAATCAACCACAACTAAATCCTTATCGCTACTAGCAAAACATTTGCAAATTTGGCAACTGTTCTGGCTTAAATCACTAATTTTTGCAGTTTTTTTTTCAATATTAATTTATTTTAGCAATCTTACATTTTTTGCACGAGCAGATGCAAATTTACGCTGGAAATGACATTGTTACTGATCTTATCTGTCCTAATTAATCGCTTAACAAAAGGAAAGTTACACCTATCTTCCCAACCATTTTTCCATCCAATATGTTGTTTTAGAATTTCCCTCTCAGTTGAATACATAGTTATCAAAATAATATTGACTTATTAATCAATATAATAAAAACAAATAAAATAATATTAATTAACAAATATATGCACAAGATAAAAGTGGATTTAACAACTTATCTGATATTAGTTTGATAATCCATAGAGAAAAATTCCGCGTAACTTTGTTTACTTTATACTTCAAAAATTGACTCGCCGAAACAGTTGTTTGAAGAATATTCGTTAATAAATAGTTTGGGACGTAACGCATAAAGGTTACGTCATCGCAAAAAAACGTCAACACAAATGTACGCCTAAAACTAACAAGATTAGTTGTAAAACATGACATTTTTGAAAACATATTTCATAACATAGCTGAAGGCACGTAAAATAATTTTTTTATTTTCATTTGCATAAAAGGTTGAAATTTCATTAACTTACGTCATCCATCAAAAAAGTTACGTTTTGCATTTGAAAACGATCAATTAAAAAATATAAATGCTTTAAAAACAGTCTTTTTGTAAAAAAGTCTCTAGGATGACGCAGGAATCTGATAGAATAAACATTTAGGGTTAAGTGTTCCAAATTTCAACTATCAAGCACAGAGTTATGTTATGAAATCTTAGTTGGCCCAACTCATGTTTTCCGGAAAATATGTGAAAATTAGAAAAGTGGTTCTAAATTATTAAAAATATTTTGGCAATATTTATTTTTATACCAATTAATGTAAATATTTATTTAACAAGGAAAGATAGATCTTTTATATTTTTTTTAATTGCAAGATGAAAGCATTTATATAAAAAAGTTACTATTAATTTAAAGTTTGTGAATTTTTATACTTTTTATGCGGAAATATTTTTTTTTTTTGATAAACTCATGACGTCACGCTCGTTTTTATATTGAGTGAAACAGCTGTGATGTGCATATATTTTTCAAAAATGTTTCTTTTTTGGGACAAATACAAATACATATATTTATATTTATATGTATATATATACCGTACCTACTCAAATTATTAGACTCAAACTCAATTTTTAACTTTTTATCTTTTTGGTGAGTCTAAAACTTACTAAAAGCAATCACAACTTATTTTTTTATATGTAATCTATATATTGATAAAAAAAAACACATTATGAAACTTAATACTTGGTGATGGTTCCTTTTGACTCTTGACTTTTGAAAGAGCTTTGATATGCCTTGGCATACTATTTACTCAATTTGAGGTCAATCCTTTAATATCTGGATCTCGATGCTATACTTTGATTAGTCGTTTTGTGAGTTTCTTTTTACTTGTTAAATGCAAAATCAGCACTTTGCGTATTACAAGAACCCACAGATTTACAATATCGTTCATATCTGGAGAATTGCCAATCAAGTAGCGCAATACTCTTATTAGCAAGAAAGGTCTTTATGGATTTTGCAGTACAGCAAAGAGCAATATTTTGCATGAAAACTACTTTTTTTTACCATTAGGAAACCACTCTTGCATCTGTTGAATCAAACTAGTCTTTCAGACAGTCTTGTACAATCTTGTTTCATCATCCCATGTACAATGTAAAGACTTTGACAGATACCCCTGCTCGATATGCATGACTAAACTATTATAAACCCTGGGTGCTTTACAGTGTTTACAGTACATTTTGGCTTTGTTGTTCTTTTGGTCTGCAACAGACGAATGTGGCTTTCTTTTCTAAAGTCTCAAAGGTAGATTCATTCTGTATACAACCTGACTAAAGCAATAAATATTGATGTTTTAAATGTTTCAAATATTAACAAAATGAATTGAGATAAGATATTAATGCAAAAACATCTTCTAAAAACTTGTACTATTAAAATATTAATTGCTTATGTTTCAGGAGAAAACTAATTGAAAAGTTACCTTATTCTAGTCATCTTGAGAAAAAGAGGAGTGTTTCTTAGCCCATGCAAGATGTTTTTTAATCATTGTAGGCGTAAGTTATAGCTTCTTCAGTGGCTTTCTACACTTATATCCAAACTCATAACTTCTCCTTCTTAAAGATTTAAGTGAATTTTTTTATTCCTTGGTCTTTTAAAACAACTTTT